ATTTTGTTTCTACCGATGACTATTTCTGTGTATTGATTAATTCTTCATGTTAAATTACAAAGTTCTAACAAGTACATCTGTATGACTTGGTTTACAACGATCAGTTCAAATATATGAACTAGCAGCTATGTATAAGTTTTGCTTTAAATATAGTAGTGAATGCTATAGCAAAAAATGAAAACTAAGTTACATGAATCATTGCTACTTACTACGTAGTTAATAAATTCATCACTCTACCCCATATTTTTATGAAAAAAATTCAAATTTCATGTGTTTCATGGGATTTAAAAATTCTTTTTTTAACTTTTCTCTTGACAGCAAATAGAGTTGCTGGATAACCTTGTACAGGATGTTAATGATTACGAAACTTTATGTTGCGAAGACGAATATCATGCTAAGAAGCTACAATAGAAAACCTTAACAAGCAACTTAGTCTAATGGGATAAGTCATTATATTAGACTAAAAAGAAGACAAGTGACAGCGATAAAGACCTGATACTGACCTTCACATATCTTCAAATATCCACCAAGACCCATAAGAATTCACTGGAATCCAGTAGAATTCAGTAGAATCCAGTAGAATCCAGTAGAATCCAGCAGAATCCAGCAGAATCAGCCAGGATCCACAAGAAGCTACCAGAACCCACTAGGATCCATAGAATCCACCAGGAGCCATGAGGAGCCATCAGAATCCAAGGACCCAGGAACCGCTTTTCCCTCTTGACTTTCCCCCTTGCTCCGGGTTCAGGTTCGGGTCTAAAAATTCTGATTTATTGAGTATCGGTACGGATCCGGGTTCAAAAATTCTTGGACCCGACGGGCTCTACCCCCAATACGTGAAAGACTTTTTAATTATTTAAATCAGTATCTAACTAATTAATTTTCCGTCGCAGACCATGACAAACAGGCTCAAAGGGGCTATCAATGATCATGTATAAGTACCATTTCATTGGAATATATATGAAGTATATCCTTGTTGAAGTTCTAAGCTGTAAACCAAGGCATGATATAAAAACATGTCTCAATATGCATAAAAAAGACCAGTTTTTAGACAATTAGCAACTACAATTAGATCGTGTTTCACATTTTTCATCCTGCAAGGATTGTGCTAACAGCTTTTTAATCCGACGCTTCAGGAGAATTTATTAAGGCAGTATTGTTACGTGGGTGTCTTGCGTTTTAATCTTCATCCGGACTGTTCGCCCTGTTCGAGTAGTTGCACCAGAAAAATTGAACTTATGCTAGCCGAAGTCATAGTTAGAATATAAAATACAAAGGTTCAATACTTTCGTACTCTTAAATTGATCCAATGGATTATATATTTAAAAAAACATAGAAAAGCATCATCTATTTTTCGTTTTGTTCAATAGAAATATCACTACAGTTCAAAATGGTCTTGGCGACAAAATGGCATACCTGATATTTGCTATTACAGCGGCGGTCACATCAACTATATGGGCAATGCTTGTATATTGGCAACTTGCGATTATTATGCTCTGCTTACAAACGGTTTATTTTATTGAATTTTACGCTTTTAATATTGTAAGTCAACAAATAAACTCCATAATTCTATCAAACGAAGTTTTTATATTATCAAATTCAAATAGATTACGGTTAAGCAAGCTGAGAAAGCATCAACAGCTTATGGAAAAGCTGGCACTGTTATCAGCGAAGCGCTTAATGGAATTCGAACTGTCTTGGCATTCAATGGAGCTCAATCAGAACTTCATAAGTAATATGGTTTCTAAATATCACAAATAAATAATGAATACCAGTCTTGATCATATATATATTTCTATAGATATGAACGAAATTTAGATTCAGCGCGAAGTGCAATTCTTAAGAAAGATTTTGCTTTTGGTCTGTTTCGAGGATTAACGCTGATGTCATGGCACTGGGTTACTGTGATTGGACTCTTGATTAGTGCGATATTCTACCACTACAATATTAGTCATATATCAATCGACGATATTTTAATAGTATGTTAAATGTATGTCAATATTTTTATTAGGAAAAAGTTCAAACAGAGTTAATTGATCGGTCGTTCAGGCTGAAGTTCATTTTAAAGAGTAAAGTTAATCTAAATCAAAAACAATAGATTCAACTGTTAGATTGATGCATACGTATATTTATCATTGCAAAATTTCTTTTACGAAGATTTGTATTAGTTTACAAAAATAACACTGACATTTAAGAATCAAAACTAGTCGATTATTCTCTTTAATAGCCGCGGTGTATCATAGAAACTAAATATTACACCGTTTCACCTTAATTGAATTTATTGGAAATATATTTTGCTTCGATTCTGTGATCAATTTCGATGAACATAAAATTCACATGAGACTTTCTTGATTCTCCTAAAAAACATCAAAAGTCAAAATGTTGAAATAAAAATATCGAAATATTAAAATGACGAATTAAAAATTTCTACTTTCAAAGTTTACGTAACTAAGACGTCACATGAAAATATTCTGTATATCAAACATAACGAGGGGAGACAATAATGCTCGATTAGTCCAATGAGACACACTTATAACTAATTTAAGCTGCCAAATACGTTACTGGTCAATAGAGTGGGCAATGTTTTAATCTACATGCAACTTTAAAAAAAGCAGAGGGGTTATCTATGTAAAGGCACAATTGAATACACCATTATTAGGTAAAGCTTATAGTAGTCTACGATAAATGCAATAACCGAACATAATTAAAAAGCGTATTTACGCATCTGATATTCAGACTGGCGTATCATACGTCGTTGCAAGAAAAATTAAATAAATTCTTAACCTAGCATAATAACAATATCTGTTCTTTAGCTAGCTTCATACATCTTTCGACATTTTTATTTTCGATATTTTTCCTTTCGACATTTTCCCTTTCGACCAAATTTAGGTCTACCATATGTTAATCCCGTTAACACTACTAAAACAATACACATAGTCACCATTTAATAGAGTTTATCACTGACTATAAAATACTGTACGCAATCTTCTATAGATTTAAGTAAAGTGCGATGCCATCTAACGATGAGTTCATGTGAAAAAATAGTTAATTCTTTCTGAGACTGTATTCGTTATAGGCTCTTTAGAAAATTGCATGATATTTTCTGAAAAAAATCTGCTCAAAACATCTTAAACTAAGAGAGACAGCAGTGTCGAAGGACTGAACTTTAGGAATTCTTCCGATACCTAAACACACCGCACAGCAGTCATAATCACCTCGAGGAAAAGAGAACTGACGGCCGCAACCATCATATATCCTAACTCATTCTCTCATTCATCTTTCGGAGCTAAATCTTAAAATTTAAAAATCGTGATAATACTAAACAAAACATCCTTCATATTAACAAAACTATAATCCCTTTGCCCGCACGAATGAGAATCACTTCCACAGGAACCGAAGAAACATCCAGAACTCATGCTCGCTCCTCAAGGAGGGAATTGTTAATGCAATCCGAATCGAAAAGGTAGACACAATTTCAAATAACATTCTGTATAGTGAAAAAAAGGTACCACACCGAACCCAAAAGGGTTTGTTGAACTGAAAAAACGTTTCGTACTATGTACAAAATCTTTCTTTTTGACCAACAAACCCTCTTGAATTCGGTGTGGTACCGTTTTTTTTCAGTGTATCTATTCCAAGAAAACAAAAACTACATGAATTTGACAATTCCCCTGACAGTACCCAATGAATAATTTAAGCATATCCAGGAAACTCATAATCATTTCCTTCCTTCAAGTAACTGGAAAACTGTTCTTTCTCAAGAAAGGTTTTTATTCATACTGGATCATGAAAATGGCCAGGTAACCGAGGAATTATGATAGTTCTGTTGATAGTACCCAGGAACTGACCGGACTACTACCAAGGAGTTAACCCACATTTCCTTTGAATAACTGGCGAACTCATGTCTTTGATGAAAATCTTTGAGCAATGCTTCTGGATTCAGAAACTCTACTGCACAGTTCCTCGAAGGAAGTGTGGGTTAATCCCTTGACAGTAGTCGGAACAATCCCTGTGTACTATCACAGTTCCTCGGTTTCACGGCCCTTTTCAGGATCCAGAATTAGTTAGAAGCTTTATGTGAGACACAACAGTTCCACAGAGACCCGATGAAAGTCGGGGGTGGGGGGGGGGGGGGGGGGATTGAATGAAGGG